GGGTTCAACGTAGATAAATGCAGGGTGCTGCACCTTGGGAGAAGGAATCCACAGCATACATACAGGCTAGGGAGTTCCCTTCTTGAAAGCACAGAGGCAGAAAGGGATCTTGGAGTCATTATTGACTCCAAGATGAACATGAGCTGCCAATGCCAGACCGTAGCCAGCAAGGACAGCCATACCTTGTCATGCATCCAAAGGTGCATCTCAAGCCGGTCCAGAGAGGTGATACTCCCCCTCTATGCGACTTTGGTCAGAGCGCAGTTGGAGTACTGGGCATCGCACTTCAAATGGGATGTGTTCAGCCTGGAGAGGGTTCAGAGGAGGGCCACCCGCTTGGTGAGAGGGCAGCAGGACAGGCCCTACGAGGAGAGACTGCAGGACCTGAACCTGTTCAGCCTCAGCAAGAGGAGGCTGAGGGGGGACCTGGTGGCTGCCTACAAGCTTATCAGGGGGGATCAACAGCAAATAGGCAGAGCTCTTTTCTTCCCAGCACCACCTGGGGTGATGAGAAGCAATGGTCATAAACTGACGGAAAATAGGTTTAGGTTGGAGATCAGATATTTTACAGTTAGGGTGGCCAAAATCTGGAATCAACTTCCCAAGGGAGGTGGTCCTCGCCCCTACCTTGGGCAAATTCAAGAGGAGGTTGGATGATCACCTGTCTGGGGTCTTGTGAACCCAGCATTCATTCCTGCCTGTGGCAGGGGGTCAGGCTAGATGATCTGTTCAGGTCCCTCCTAACCCTAGCTACTATGAAACTATGAAACTATTATGAAATCCATTGTGAATCTTAAACAGGGGGGACGGTCTCTATATAAACCGTCAAAGTTGGGTTGGGCCAAAGAAAGTTATTTTATAAACATCCTGGCATTTAAAAAAACAAAATACTCAGGTTCCCTTAATGGTTTATTTGTACATCTTTCATCTCTAATCCAGGATTCACTTTGTCATTTAAGGAAGGGTACTCAGGGATATGACAAAGAGCAACAGACAGAAGAAAAGGCAATGGGCATTTAGTCAGCTGTCACAGGAGTAAGCCACTCCTTCCTCATTTCTGTTTCATGTCATCGTGCTCCAGAATTCTCTTATTGAGAAAGGTGGTTAACAATGCCTTAGAGGCATGATGTAGCAACAGAGAAATGAGAAAGGGGAGTGTGTGGAGTAGCCAAGAGCCAGACAGAACTTTCTCTCCTCTCTGGGTAAAATTTCTCAATCTACTATTGCTGATAGGGTGATATGAGATGCTGTTATCACTAGGTGTAGAGGGCAAGGCTCTGACGCCAATCATTTCTGTCCAAGAGCTTCAACGGACCCAGAATTGCTATTAGAAGAAACAGGATTCATGGTAAACCACTAGCCTTCATCTGCAAGAATGCAAAGCTGTGGGGGAATTCTTTTGCCTCTGTAGCAGGGACACAGATTGAACTACTCCTTGCCTATTCTCCTGTCCCACTGTTCTCTCTGACCTTGCCTTCAAGCAGTAGGAAAGGAAAGCTCAGACAAACTAGTTCAGTAAGAACCATCTGACTTTGAAAGGATTCAGATAAAGGCTGATAATAAAGAAAACTTAATGTATCAGTGGAGGGGGGATGGCTTCTCTCTCTTTTCATTTATGGTTCAATTACATGCACGTGCCCCCCACCCCTGTTCATATGCCTACCACTATACATACAATGGCCTAGTCCGGGGTTCCACTATCCAGCCTCAAACACTTTATCCCTCAAAATCATTCATCAACAAAACCTGATGAATTCTCTACACCTCAGATATTCCTGCCACTTTTCCAAAGACTTCAGAGTCTCTGGCTTCCCCAAACCAGTCTGTATTCACCTGCCAGAAATCCTAACCTCTGACCTCCTGGCTTCTTATAAAGCAAGTCCTAAATAATCTGCCCATCAGACAATTCCAAATTCCTGAGTCTAACTTCATTAGAGCCTTCCAACTCCATAACCAATTCCCAGCATCCTTTCTCCACTACCTCAGCACTCAGACCACATCAGAGTCAAGAAGGCAGTCAGAAATTCATCAATTATGGCAGAGGGAACCTCAAAGACTCACTTCCCAAATCACTCACCAATTTCCCATCCCACTGAAGCATCCAACTGGACAATTTTATGTGGGAACCAAAAGGACACCTCTTACTAAAGTACACAGTAGTCATTTGACATGATCAGACTCTTTGATTGAAAACTAGAAAGTCTGGATCACTGAAAAGCTACTGGGTATTTTTTAATTAAAAATAAAAAGGAATAAATGTGTGTGTGGGGGGGAGGTTCTTTCTTCCTATAAGACATGGAACCCCATCTCTTGAGGATGTATTATGTAGATTGCAGCTCAGAAAGAATGTTGATCCTGCTTGTTCCTCATCCATCCACCTGGCCCACAACTGTCCAAATACTGCAAAAGAGCCAGGTGGCCTCCCATACACAGGTACTGGGAAAAGGGGAAGGCAATAGAAGCAACTAAAAGCAAACACCTGAAGATATACTGGGCTTATTGGGTAGAAGGGACTAGCTGTGGGAGTGACCAGGCAGGGCCCCATCTCGTGATTTTAAGCTGGAGCCCTGAGAACCGACAGGCATTTCAGTGTTTAAACTTCATTAAAGATTCATGCTGAATTCTGCCTGGCGTATCTTGGCTTTGAATAAATCAAAATAATTTATTAAGCTGGAGGAGACGTGAGCAAGGCAATGAGACTAGACTGAGAAAAGAAAGAAAAGAAAGAGTTGATCCTAATGCAAAGTTTCTCCCAGCCTTCCAACAAAACACAATTCTGTCTGTAGTGGAGTTTGAATCCCAAAAGGTACTTGAGTAAACACATTCTGATAAATGGGTTAGGGTTACATGTCTCACTTTTATAACTTAAGAAAATAGGAAAAATATTTTTAAAGTTGTATTTTCACTGAAGTTTCCAATTTCCTTTGTCATGACAGGAGGGGGCATCAAAACTTTGGGACTGTACTCTTACTCCTTCTAGGCCTCTCTCTCTTATATAGCACCACCCTTTTTAACACAACCTTTCAATTTCCTCCCTCCCTGCCCAAAACCCTGCTTCCCTCAGTTCCATGGCCCCTGTATTCCCAACTTTCTTTTCTTGCATAGTGACTTACATAGCCAGTTCTGGGCCCTCTATAGCTCCTCTGGTACCCTGGAAATTAGGGGAGTCAAGGGATCCAGGAAGTGGTTATGTGTAAGAAAAGAAAGTGGCTGTGGGGCAAGAATAAGAAAAGAAATCAACAAAATTTTAAGAGTGATCTCTTCCCTAACCTGCAGCAAGCAAAGGAATCTGGTGTGACAGAATTGTGGAAATGGCATAAGCCGCCCTACTGCTTTTAAAAATATTTGACTGAAATTCTCTCTCTGCAAGACTTTGAAAAGATATTTCACTGCCACTTTGACATTCACTTTCTGCAAATCTAAAATCACAGCACTGTCCAGGCGAATGGACTGGACTGTTGGATGCTTAAACTAAGCTATCTGCCTGTGATTCGTTGAACTATTTTCCCTCCCCAAACACCCTAGAGCAGAGGTTGGCAACCTTTTGTCATCATGGGTCATTGCTTGCAACCCAGCCCCTGCCACAACCCATCTCCCCAGTGATTAGCAGGTGCTGCAAAAGGAAAAGATAGGAAAAAGGCAGGTGCTAGGACTCTGGTGAATCTTCCTCTGCAGTAGCAGAGGGAATAAACAAAATAAGGCAGGGAATATGACCATAGGGATACTTCCTTTTCTGCTGTGGCTTGAGCATGCGTCTGATTCCCTGAGCTGCCATGAGCCAGATCCAGTCTCTTCATTGGCTGGATACAGCCCATGGGTCATAGGTTGCTACCTCCTGCCCTAGAGCACAACATATTCAAGTTAGGTTTGATCTTCTCCATATTTGCTCTCTACTATTTTTGAGCTCTACAGTGGATAGATATACATCTAGAATCTGTAGATTCATGTAAATGTGTACTTTTCTTGGTAGAAAGGATGTTACACTTTAAGTACAGATAATGGAGATGTACCTCTATCTTCTACTTTTTTGTAGAACTGAGATTAGCTGTTTGCAGTACATCTGAAATCTGAAAAAAAATTCTCTGGTGTTCTTGCATGGAGTGCCTCTGCTGTATTGTTATTTGATAAAGTTCTTATTTGAAAATAATTATTTTGGGACACGCATTTGTGCATGTGTGCGCGCACACACACAGTCCCCAACTGAGACTGTATTCCGCTTTTCTACTTACTTTCAGATTGTGCAGAGTTCCTGTCCAATCCATGGCACCTATTTGAGGTATAGCAGTAAGCAGTATGCTGGTTGCCTTATTTGCATTCTCTTTCAGCATCTTTAGAACCTTATCTACAGAAACCTAGAAATACAATAAAAACTGTTAATGCTTTCCTCTAACTTGTTAGAAAATAAATTCTGTAACACCCATCTCAATTCCTGATTAAACCACCCCATGTATCTGATTCAACTCAGATTAGAAAGGATTAATAAACAATAAAAAGATGCATTTTAAAAGAAAATAACCCTAGCCACAGAGAAAAATTAAACTGTTTCCAGTTTTGGTGGGGGGGTTATACAGTACAGCTGGGGCTTGATTCTGGACATCCTTTTATTCAAGAGCTTAGTGAAACTGTTTAACTGGGTAAAGATTGGGACCTTTGGGGAGGAAATGGTATCTTAAGTTTATTCTAGCCAATCCGAACCTCGCCAACCTCATCACCAGAAGCAAACTTCCTCAAGCCCAGAACACACCAAAAGGATCCAGACCGTGCCAGGACAAGAAATGCAAAACCTGCCAACACATCTCCACCACCCCCACCATTACTACACCCCACAACAGAGCCATCAGCATCCCAGGATCTTACAGCTGCACCTCCAGAAATGTAATATACCTCATCCAATGCACCAAATGCCCTGATGGAAGATATGTAGGAGAGACCAAACAACAACTGCGCACCAGAATGAATGCACACCGGAAATCCATCAAAGACAGAAATACCCAATTACCGGTGGGGGCACATTTCTCACAGGAGGGCCACTCTCTCTCCAATCTCTCAGTCCCGATCCTCAAGGGAAACTTACACAACACTTCCCAGAGACGAGCCTATGAGCTCCATTTCATCAACCTGCTGGATACTAGAGATCATGGACTAAACATAGACATTGGATTTTTGATGCATTATAATCTGCCTGGCAACTGACTCCCCAGCCCAGCCTCTGGCTTCTTTACTTTTCATTCCATCCAGGAAGAGCACACACCAACTGCTGATGCTTCCTTAGCCTGACGAAGGGTTTTTGAACCCAAAAGCTTGCTTAATAACTATTCTCCAACCATTTGGGTTGGTCTAATAAAAGATATCAAATTCACCCAAGGAACCTTGTCTGCCTATGTCCTTAGACCAACACGGCTACAACCTAAACCCCTTCTAGCCAATCTGACACTTCATAAATGCACTAATATTTTAAAGAGGAGTTGACATATCTGGGTAAAACGGTAAGTTGTGGTACAGGCTGTTTGAAAATATAAAAAGAGAGGTAAAATATTTTTGGATGATTTTAGTGGGCTGATTGCATGGTTGGGATACACTTAGGCAAGCTTTCAAATGAAAGGAATTCTTCATTAGGTCTGAGGGCCTGATGATATAAATATAAACAAATAAATATGAAGAAAGGTAACCACGTAAACTTCTAGAACATTCTTGCTGGAGAGAACATTTTAGAGCAGTTCTTGGGATATCAACTGCAACTGATATAACAAGGGGCAAGGTGATTGTTGCAGAGCACTGAGATGCCCTGCTCCTAAAGAGGAGAAACTGCTAGGGAAGGGACCCTAGCAGTGAGGGAATAAGGAGCCCAGCTGTGGGTTGCTGGGGCAACCAGGGAAAGTCATCTGACCAGAAGGGGCAGGGCCTGGGCCTTATAAAGCCCAGGGGCTGAGGCTAGGCTGGCAGTTCCCTGCCAGCAGCCCAGCAGGAAGGAGCTCTCTCATGGAAGGGATGGAGTATTTCCTGGTAGGCTTGAGCATTGTTATGGCCGGGCGGCTTCTGTTTAAGTTATAGCCGATTGGCTTGTATTTTGTGTTGCTGTTTATCACCGGTGGTTTGGGTGAGGCTATTAGGGGATGGCGGAGGCCTCATAGGGGACTCACAGCAGAGTGTGGGAATCCCAGCGCCAGCGAGGGCACAGCATTCAAGGTGCACAGACCCCAGCCCCAGGGAGGGGGCATTACTGAGAAGCCCTAGTGCAGGCGTGGTGAGCCCTGGAGAAGGGGGCAACACTACAGAGCAGGCCCTGGAGAAGGGGGCAGCGCTACAGAGGAGGCCCCGGAGACGGGGTGTGGAGAGAGAGGGACAGGGCTGTGGAGAGCCCGAGTGCCAGAGAGGGCATGAACACCAGAGAGAAGGACAGAATAACATCCATTACATCTGCGAGGCTTGGGGCGTGGTATTGGGGTGGTAGGAGCCATGCATAGCCCCTAAGGCTAGGGTGCCCCGGAAGCACCCATTTGTAGAGTGGGACCCACGAGGGGTCCGGGAGTCCACAGGGCAGAGACTACAGCAAGACGTGACCAAGAGGGTGGAAAAGGCAGCCTCCCTAACATTTTTCAACATCAAAGACATGGCGGGCGAGAAACTGAGGGTGCCCTTGGGCCAACTTGGCATGGGAAGGGGGCCTTGAGGAGATCACGGCCCTCCTGTAGGACCCCGCCTGTGACAGTGATTTTCAGAAACATCAATACAACTTCTGTGCTATTTGTAAGAGTATCATTTAGATTTTACTGGTCATCGTTGGCTGAATTTTTTGTTGTATAATAATATTGTCAATATTTCACTTCAGCCTCCAAAAATTCCAATGAAGAATCCATAATCTCCTGAGTCTGATAGCTTGTATAGTCTAAACTCTATCTCACAGGCATTTTATGGTACAACCAGTTCAGAAAGAAAGCCAAGTGCTCAGGAACCTCGCACATTGACAGACCAGTGCATGGATAGATCAATAATGCAGGAAACTACTTATTTCAGTTTTGCAATTAAGATGGCCATTTCCACTAAAAAGAATCTTAATCCTATTTTACTACAGCTTGAAAGCACACCTCAAAGAGTTGAGACAAAATACACTGCAGTGGTGCTGTAATCATCTCAAATGCAAGGATTTCCAAATTCACAAAAGTCAGAGTTAAACTTGAAAGAAATATAGATACATTTCAGATATAAAATGCATAGTTAGGGTCTACAAATAACCATTATCATAGAATCACAGAAAATTAGGGTTGGAAGGGCCCTCAGGAGGTCATCTAATCCAATTCCCTGCTCAAAGCAGGTCCACCCCCAACTAAATTATCCTACCCAAGGCTCTGTCTACACAGGTCTTAAAAATCTCCAAGGATGGACAGTCCATAGTCTCTCTGGCTAACCTGTTCCAGTACTTTACTACCTCCTCCTAGTAAGAAAGTTTTTGCTAATATCCATCCTAAACTTCCATTGCTCTTGGTCCTGTCATCTGCCATCACTGAGAACAGCTTAGCTCCATCCCCTTTCGAACTTCGCTTCAGGTAATTAAAGGCTGCTATTAAATCTCCCCCTCAGTCTTTTCTTCTCCAGATTAAATAAACCCAGTTCTCTCAGCCCTTCCTCAGAAGTCATGTGCCCAAGCACCCCTAACCATTTTCCTTGCCCTCCACTGGACTGCCTCTTATTTGTCCACATCCTTTCTGTAACGGGGTACCCAAAACTAGACACAGTACTCCAGATGTGGCCTCACCAGTGTCAAATAAAGGGGGAAGAATCACTTCTCCGACCTGCTAGCAATGCTTCTACTAATGCACCTAAATATGCCATTAGCCTTCTTGGCGCACTGCTGGCTCATATTCAGTTTACTGTCCATTGTAAGCCCCAGGTCCTTTTCTGCAGAGCTGCTGCTTAGCCAGTTGATCCCTAGCCTGTACCGGTGTATGGGACTGTTTCATCCTAAGTGCAGGACTTTGCACTTGTCTTTATGGAACCTCATGAGATTTGTTTTTGGGTCCAATCCTCTGATTTGTCGAGGTCTCTCTGAATCCTCCAGTGTATGTATTACCACCCCCACCCGGCTTGGTGTCATCTGAAAACTTGCCACACTCTATCCCAGGGGTGTCCAACCTTTTTGAATGTGGGGCCGGATCACAAACTTTTTATCCCCCAGTGGGCCAGCGAGCCATATTCAAAAATGTCACAGGAAGTGGTATCATATCAGGAAGTGATGTCACATGACCTTTGACACCAATGAAGTTGCAGGGGTTGACATGGTGCTGCAGGAGCTGCTTGGCTACAACCAGGTTGACCTGGTGCTGGAGAAGCCGTGGGGCCAGGCTGGGGCTCACCTGGGACTCGCCCGGCCTGCCAATGCTATGCCTGGGTTGACATGGTGCTGCAGGACCTGACTCGGCAGAACTGGGTAGCACTGGCCAGGAAAAGCAGCATGCAGCTGAAGCCGGCTTCCCACGTGCTGCTGGGGATGGGAGGAGGCTGGCCAGGTCTGCACCGGCCAGCAGAAGCGGTGGCAAAGCCATGTGCTGCTCGGGACTGCCCTCCTCGCCGCGGCCC